TATGAAGCGATGTAGCAATCATATACCCTAAAATCATTGAAATATGAAGCGATTTTGGGAATCCTCAATGCTCTCTCTTATCTTCCCTTTCTATTTACCGTCGTGAAGGCGTTGTTATTTACTTTCTTATGTATGTTGACGACCTTGTTGTCGCAGGAAATAATGCCTCACTTGTTTCTTAGTTTGTTCATGCTCTTTGCTAGGAGGTTCTCTGTCAAGGATCCTGGATCCCTTAATTATTTTCTCGGTGTTGAAGTTGTGCCTACTACCACTAGTCTCTTTTTGTCTCAACACAAGTATATATGTGAAGTAACATACTGTTGGGGTCTTTTTCCGTCGGAAGGCTCGTATGAACTTGTTGATTCTTGGACCGCCATAGAATGGTGAATCAAGCCTTCGTTGCCCCTTTTTCCGAGTTAGCGAGAACTAGGCCTAAAACATCCCGAGGGAGAAGCAAGTCTCAGGGGAGTACTCTCTCCTTCTTCCAGCAGCTGCATGTTTTGTGCTGATATTTCCGGCAGCTTGACGAAGAGTTGAAGAAGACTTGTTGATGTTGAACCAAAATTGTGTGAGCTTGGCATGAGAGCTTGGAGTGTGGGAGCTAAAGACCCACAAGTTTAGCAAATGAGAATGCATGTGCTTGGCTTGGTGTTGGATATGCCTGAGTTTGGAAGTTGATAATTTGTTGTTTATGACTATGGCTATAGGGATTTAAGAGTTTCAAGAGGAGGATGGAAGGAAAAGCTTGAGGTTTGAAGGCAATGATGTTTACAGCTTGGAAGGAAGGAAAACCTTGGAGTTATACTTGATGAGGCTTTATGGATTTAAGAGTTTCAAGAGAAGAAAGATGGGAAGAAAAGCTTGAGGCATGAAGGCTATGATGTTTACAACTTAGAAGGAAGGAAAAACTTGGAGTTAGGCTTGGTGAGGCTTTATGGATTTAAGAGTTTCAGGAGAAGGAGGATGGGAAAAAAAAGCTTGAGGCTTGAAGGCTATGGTATTTATAGCTTGGAAGGGTATGATAAGGAAGGAAAAGCTTGGAGTTATGCTTGGTGAGGCTTTATAGGGAGAATGGTTTCAAGGAGAGGAGGTTATGGTTGGGGTGCTTGCAACAGCTAGGAAGGAGGTGTGATGATTGAAGAAAGGGGTTGATAGCTGCTGGTATGCTTGCAGCAGCCAAAACAATAAGTTGTTGTGCTGCTCCAGCAGCTAAAGGAAGGGCCTGATGGCTGAAAAAAGGGGTTGATGGCTGTTGTGTTGCTTGAAGCAGCTGAATGAGGTGCTTGATGGCTGAAGAAAAATTGGTCGATGACTGCTGTGTTGCTTGCAGCAGCTGAAGAAACGTGAGTTCTCATGGTTGCTGGGAGGCTTGCAGCAACCAAGAGACGTTGATTTTGCTTGGGCAATGCATCTCAATTTATAGAAGGTGAAGGCTCTCTTTGGTTCCCAATAGGTAAAAGGAAGTGTTGAAGCTAGTCTATTTCTAACGGGTAAAAGGGAGCATTGAGACATTCTTATTTACAACAGGTAAAGATAGGCATTGAAAAATGACTATTTCCTATGGGTAAAAGGAAGTGTCGGAATTGGTTTGTTTCCAGTGGGTAATAGGGAGTGCTGGAAAAGGCTTGTTTCCAACAAGTAAAACTAGGCATTTGGAAAATGACTATTTTTTATGAGTAAAATGAAGTGCTTGAAAAATATCTCATTTGCTCACCCACATTGAAGAACTCTAAGTGATGGGCTTGGACTTTGGTGCTCCTAAGTAGATAGCCCAAAGTCTCCATTATCCAAGAGCTTCCGTGGGCCTTGACCTCCGTAACCTTCCACACCACAATCCCTCGTGTAAGCCCCATAAACCACATGACTTGGGATCATGTGAGCTTGATAGGTGATTGACATATGAAAAATGTATTATTGGCTTGGCATGGCATGCACACTATTTCTATATTTATTTAATGAATTAATTCCCAAAATGGAACTAACATGATGGATCATTTGCTTTCCCTGCAGGAGACACAGTCTGATTATTATACTGACCAACTCATCAAGGGCCTTATACTGGTTAGGTGAAGAATATATCTACTGCATTACATTACATTTTTATAAAGTTGGTGACTTTATTTTTGCTAATACAAAAGCAATTATCAGGTCATTTTATTGGCTGGTATCGATACATCATCAGTGACATTGGAATGGGCCATGTGTCATCCACTCAATAATCCATACGTGCTAAGAAAGGCTAGAGCTGAATTGGATGCCATCTACTAATCCAACAACACTTAGACTTAGTGGATGAACTAAATATCTCTAAACTACCCTACATTAAAATTCTGCTGGAGGAGGCAGAAAAATTCATGAAAATAAGAATCCATGTTAATTAACAATACTATATCCTAAAAAAACATAAATATGCTATCCATCTACTACATTACAAATGAACTAGTAACATCCAAGTATTTTTTTCAGATTCGGGATCTAAATTTTTTTGGCTTAAATTCGGTGGTAAATATGAACTATAGAGAATATTTCGGCTAAAAGATAATCTAAATCTGCTACTCTCCCACCTTCATGATAATCTAATTTGTATATAAATGATAAAATGCATGTCCTCCAATCAAAATAATTTTCCAACTAAAAAAGTTTCAGTAAAAATATAGGGATTGTGAACCAAAATTTGCCTTTAATTTTTAATTTTTTGTTCGGGGTGTTGAACATTTTACCCAAAAAAAATAATTTGAAGGGCTTATTTAGTAACGTTTTCTGAAAAATATATGTACAATGTTATTAAAAAAATGAAAACGAGAAAATAAATTTATATTTT